ATCCTGGTGGAAAACGATCTGACAAGCAACACAGATTTCTAGCTGGGGTCGAACCAGGGATCCTGTGATTAGTTTCCTCCCAGGACTTCATTTGTCTGCATTAATTACTTAAAGGCAGCAACAGGCTATTTGTAAAAGAAACAGGAAGGCCTTGATTTCTTTTTGCATGGTACCATAAATAAGCACCAAAAAAAAAAAGGACAACATGCCAAATCTTTTATTTAACCCTTTACCCTGGTGTAACTGGGCCTTGTCATCAAACAACTGTGCAGCTAACCTGTGCTGAGAGGAGGGACGTCGTCCGTGCTGGAGAAGTCCAGAGTGGCTCCTGCAATGTCCACCATCTCGTCATCATCATCGTCACTGGGGTGATGAAGACCGTCAAAGCTCCCGGAGGAGTAGCCAGGGTTATCCATTCTTTCAAATCCTGTTCACAACACAACAAGAGGAAAACGTCCGGCTATGAAACACAGCCTCTAACATGTAACCAGCTGCAGGAGGAACGATCAGTTTTAGTCGTAGCTACCTGTCCCACTTTTCCCTGCAAATTTTCGGTACACGCTCGCCCAATGCTGAGACATTGTCGCGAAAAGTCAGCAAAATCACAGCGACTGAAATGGCCAACCTCCTTGTTTACCCACAACGGTTCTGTCAGAGAAATTCTAGGAAGCGCTAGGTTTGTGGGCTACGGAGAAACAGACTGGTCTCCCACATTTGCTCCGAACCCCCCTGTTATCATAGTGAGAAATGACAGCACGTCCACGTCTCCAGTTACAGGAAAGTTTTCGCAACCATTTCCGCTTCTTTTTTGTACTTCTGCTCGTCCCATAACTGCTGAAAACAGCAGAAAAAGCGCCCCACACTGGAAAAACACACTGCAGCCCATGCAAAGCAGATTAGCATAGCTAAAGTATTTAGCCATCACATGTGTGATTATGACCAAACCTGTCAAACAAGTTGGCAAGATGCAACCGATGAGCCAACTAAGTTAATATTAACGTTCCGCCATCCACTTCAAATTAAAAAAGAAGCCGCAAATTTAAGGCCTTACTTTACCTGTGGGTATAAAACCAGTCGTGAGGATTAGTGAAGTCTTGTGACCTGGATCTCTGCCCTGCCGTCGTTTTCTACTGTAAGATGCTTATATGTCAACAGAACTCTATGTAAACTCCGCAGCGCCTGCCCCAAGAAAATCTTCAGCCATTCTCATTCCTAAAAGCGAGGGGTTTAAAACGCAGGAGATGTGCTAAACGTGGCCACAATAGCCAAATATATTGTTTAGATACCCCCAAATAGTGTAATACATCAGAAATTACCCAGATTACGCGTTTTCGCCACTAATACAACAAAACAAAGCTAGCATCACTTTGGATAAAATAGCTACGACTTCCGTTTATGATATTGTTAAAGCTACCATGTCAGATCATTTCGTAGGTCATAATTTCATACAATTTACAATTTAACACTCGGAGCTTAATCACCACATTTCTTTTAAAGTGATTATGCAATACATGTCTGTATTTATAGTTTTTAAACCGCTCCTGTTTCTTGCAATGTCCAATTGTTATTTTAATTTGAAGGTAAAGCACTTAATTTCCGGTTTGTCTGCGTTATCCCTGCTATCGTGACAAAAGTATCTGCACACCAGGGAAATCAGTCGAGTCAAGAGCTATCGCTTCTACAACTGGGCCCATTGACTGTGTCATTGGAACAGCTGGACTAATCGATCAAGATTTCTGGCCACGAAATTTACAGTTAATATCACTATATAATGTTAACTTTACGGATGTGGTATTTAGAAATGTGCCAGGTATTGAGCGACTTTACACAGCTACTGTTGGTTTGCAGATGACGACTATAACACTAGCCAAAGGCCTACATTTGCCAAACATTGTCCCTATATTTAGCATGTATTAGCAGTTTATTAACATCATTTTAACTTATTCAATAAATGAATTCTAACACATTAAAATGTAGTTGTAAAGCAGCTTAAGGACTTTTATAGTGTTTAATATACAGTATTTATTTGTAATAAGAACCTCTCCAATGGAGGCTGTATTTATTTTTTAATACTATGTAATTATAGCTGTTATATATTGTTATTCATCCCATTTATACACTAGCATATAGTTGCAAGAAAAAGTAATGGCAGTGTTTTCTGCTTAGTCATAAAATCTGATTAACAGTTAAAGTGTGACACCTTGTGGTCATCTGTAGAAGTGAACGAACCCAGCCCCATCCCTGTGTGTGTGTTTGTAGACAACGGGGTTTTATTGAATCCCAGTTCATATCTGTATATCTCTGATTAATTATCTTCTTCATCTTTCCTCTTCGCACTACAGCACTTGTCTTGATGTCTTCTTTCTCTCTGCACTCATCCATCTTCACATTCTACACTCCACCACTCTGCTCTCTGCAGGCCAACATAAACACTCTCTGCCTTACCTCCCACGATGTTTCTTGTTTCAGTGGTTCTGTTTCTCTTCACATGCTTTCTCTCCCTCCCTCGTTTTTTTTTCTAGATCTTGGTATTGCAATCAAAAAAACATTCTTTCTATTCTCTCCATCATTAATATTCCACCCTCTGTACTCATCCATGTCCCCTTGTTTGGTCTTCTATCCCTTTCTTCCCCATTTTCATCACTTACATTCTTACATTCCCACCAGTCCTGTTTTTTAATGTGGGTCAGGCAGAAGAACACACTCCCCCACTTCCCCCCAAAATGCAGATTCTTCACTTTTACAGCAGCCGTTTTCTTTATCCTCCACCGGCATCTTTTGCTGTGAAACCAAACATGGCCACCTAAAACACAGTTTGACACGGTTGAAATTATTTAGTCATATGGGGTACGTGAGGAAGCCTTGGATCTGCAGCACAGGTAGGACACATGTTTATCTTGGAGAAGTAAAACCAAAACAAACATGGTGATTTTTTTTATTTTTTGTATTTTCTTTGACTCAGTGCTTTGGACGTTACGCCACTACTGAGACCTGCCCAGGTTATTGTTACTGTAATAATAGTAATCACAGTAAAGCAATAACATCTTCAGTGAATGGAGTTAATGCAAGTAAAACTTACTATAGCATGCAGAAATGCTCTTTACAGAAAAAGGTTTTGCAATAAGTCAAAATTACGCAGGAAGCTGTTCTAATACAAAATGTAATATGTACAAAACAAAACAAAAACTGAAGCATTCTGTACATGGACATCTTAAGTTCAGAGTTCTTTGGTAGTAAAACAGAAGCAACCATCTGAGAACAAACTAAGAAAAAGAACAAAACCAGGTTTACAGCAAACATTTAATAGACTTTTGGTGCTTTTTCCCAGAACATTTAACCAGTTAAACTGATAAAGCAGAAAACAGAGATAAAGGACTCTGTGTGTTCAAAGCTGCTGTATTTTCACTTCACTTCAGCAAGTCCACCTTTCAGCAGCCAAAATATACACGCTTCCTCCTCTGAAACCCTCCCTTCTCTTTTTGAGCTGCAGTTTGTGTTTTTAAACTTGATTTACTCCGGCACTCAGAGCTGAACTCTGTAGGGGAAAAAAAAGTCCTGTCCCAGGTTTAGGAGGGCAGGTTAAACCGCAGGACACTTTGGCAACATAACAAATCACAAGACAAGGGAGGTAAAAGTAGAGTGCAGGTAGCAGATAGTTAAAGTTTAGTGTAGAAGTGTGATGGTGGATAATTAACCTGAAACACAAGAATCTGCCCTTGTGCTCACTTTCTGTGTTTCAGAAAGGTTGATTTTCCACAAATTGTTAAACAGATATTTAGATTTCACTTTTTAGGAGCATAAGCTACAAAAAAAAAAAAAAAAAACTAGATTAATCACGTTTTAATCAAGTTTGACATTTTGGGGAATACACTTCTTCACATCTTTGTCAAGATAAACAAGTGTGATTGCATTGTGTTAAAAAAATATTCATTTGCCAGTTATGGTGATAATCAATTCAATCAATCATTTCTGAAGCAAACATGACAAAAGGTTTATAGTTCCATGTTCTTGAATATACACTTTTATTGGTTTTCCTTGTCTTACATCACAGCAAATAGATTATTTTGTGAATTGGACTGTTGGCAGAAATAAATGCTCTAGAAAATTGCAATAGGCACTTTTGCTGATAATGAATATTACTGTTAGTTGCAGTCCTAAGATGAGCTATAACGTGTTAAGTGATGAACTTTAGAGGCAGTAGTAGGTAGATTTTGTTACCAGGCTAGCTCTTTTCCTCATTTCCAGGCTTTATGCTAAGCTAGCCTAACAAACTGCTGGCCGTGGCTTCTTATTTCACATACAGATATGACAGTGATATCAAACTTCTTGTCTAACTCTTGACAAGAACTTAAGTGTCCAGGAAAAATTAACAACAACTTAGCCTACATGTGAACCGGGACTAGCAGAAAATAGAAACCAGCAGTAGACAACATTTTGAAAATTCTGCCGCTCAAACAAGCTCAACGACAAAAACTGCAACTCTTTGGAGACAAACAAATCTCTGGCCAGGATTCATTTCCATCAAAATATACAGTAAACTCTGACTCCTCCTGGTCTTTTCACTCATCTTTTACAACCAGTTCCAGTCATTTCAAACATCACTATTTACACATCGTTACATTATAAACACAAGTGTCTCCTGTACATAACAGTCATTAGGTGACAGTATAATGAGTCAATGGAGTCTCAAACTCCACACAGTAAAACATGTTACAGTCATACACATTACAGTAATGAGGAATACAATGCGGTTTGACAATAGTATGCTGGGTAATGTAGTATATGTGCTGCTGAGTGCAGGTGTCAGCAAGAAAAAATGATACTTTTAGAGAATTTATCAAACGGCTGCAAATGGCATTTCACAATTTTGACTTTGTTAACGGAAACACAGTTTCTTAGTGTCAAGCACCATAAAAGTCTTCTCTGATTCTCTGAACCAGGAGGTTTCAATACAAACTAAAAAAAAAGAAAAAAAAAAAAAGAAAAGGATGGTTAGATAAGCAGCGTATCAGTGACACATTCATCAAGCAAAAATGTCTTTGGCAACTTAGTGTGATTCTGTTGAGAATAGTAGTGTGGTATCACGAGTACAGTTTTACAGCACAAAATGTGAAGCAAAGGGCAACATTTTAAATCCGCACTGTGGCATCCACAATGTGATAAACAGGCTTTATTTTTGTAATTTTGACTTGTGAAGTGTAGCGGCAGCCTCAGTGTGAATCCCTCCTTCAGGTTTTGATCATCTTCTTTGGCTGTCAGGATGTCAGTAATCCAGTCACTCCCTTTTCCAATGTTCTCTCTGTGATCAAATCACAGCTCTGGCGATTAGTTGTCAACGTGTTTCTGCTGCACAGTATTAGGTTGATCAGATTTATCTAGTTAATGAAGATTACTTCAGAACAGAGTGGAGCGTAAACTGAAGAAGCTTCTGTGGATTCAACTTTCCTCTGCTTCTTAATGTTCAGTCTTTTTTGTTTTTGACACCTTCCACTTGAGCTTCTGTTGTTTCAGCTGTTGGTTTGGATCAATATCTTTACTAATCCTCAAAGGAACTGTTTGACATTTTGGGATGCTAAATATGAAGCTACAGCCAGGAGATGGTTAGCTTAGGCCTGTGCCAAGTCAACAAACATCCTGGCACATAGCACCTCTGTAGAAAGAGATATAATGATATAAATACTGAGTTTTTGAGGCGCTGGTAGACAGAGTTAGATACCTTTGGACAAAACCAGTCTTTACCCATCTCCCTGCTATGTGCAAAGCTAAGCTAGCTGGCTGTAGCTATTTATATATATGGCAGTCAGTCTTCTCATATAGCTCTCGGCAACAAAGTGAACGTATTTACCAAAATGTCAAACTATTCCTTTAAGAAACTTACAACAAACATTTTACAATGTATGTTTACTTGTTTTAATCTAAACTGGACACTGGTTGCTCTGCACTTGCTCTAGTTTTCATTTTGTCTCAACCCCCTTTGTTTCTGGTCTTAAAACGGACTCAAACTGAATGGGACTTTTTTGTGCGTGTGTGTCAATAATGTCCGTACCCCACTGACATTCCAATGCCGATTCCTAGCCCCAGCCCCAGCCCCAGACTCTCCCTCAGGCCCCTCAGCTGCTCCTCGCCCAGCCGAATCTTGTCCTCCAGCTGCCTCTGCTCCACCAGCAGGGCGGCCTTCATCTTCACAAAGTGGCTATAAAGACAAGAAAACTGAGTTAACACGTTTAGCATATATTCTTATAAAACATGCATCTATGTGAACTGTAAACCTTTGGTACTTTAAGATATATTTTGTTTTTATTGCATCTTTTATATTTATGACATATAGTGAATTTTAGTAGGTTTTATTGTTATACTCTTATTAGTACGCTGCATTAAATGATGTCTAATCTGTCCTACCCTATGAACTCACAAACATATGTTGCATTTGCAATAAACTTAACTCAACTCAAATAATTGTACTTATTATTATGGCTCTTTATAATGTTGCCTGTGGGTTAAATCAGCAATACATGGACTAACAGCCCTTAAACATTCTAAATTGTGTGGTCTTAAGAACCGTCACCTTTTTTCTATTACCATAAAAACACACATTGTTTTCATGTTGGACTTTAAAGATTAAGATACAAAGCAAATCCATCCCCAAACAGAAACCTGGGCCAAACTGTTTACGTCACTGTTTCATCAGTGTAATGGATAATAATGTTACACCTGTAGTCTCTGTGCTGTTCAGGGGTGAAGCAGCCGGCCAACACCCGGCTGACAGCCTGCTCTCTGCGGTCGACGTGGTCCTTCAGGTCCTGAGCTTCTGACAGCTGCCTCATGAGCTGACGTTTCTTCTCCAGCAGGGGGGGCTAGAGGACAGCAAGATGGGTAAGGCACAGATAAAACAACACCAGTATTCTTTACAAATAGCCTTTGTTTGTTCATTCTTCTGGGCAGACCTCTAATCTTTCTTCTCTCTGTTTGATCTCCCAACTTTCAGTGCATCCTATTTATCCTTTCTGCATTCTTCAGTGTTAATATGACACTAAAGAATACTGTAGTTCTACTACAAACAACATCATCATGCCCCTTCCTTTATAGGCTGTATTCAGTTTAAACTAAACCACTCCTACACCTCACATCCCTCTCCTCTACTCCTTTTCTCCCCACCCTCTCATGGTGCTCAGTCTCGGGGTCCAGTGCATCCAGTGTGGCCTCCACCCTCAGCAGCCTCCCGGACAGCGAGAGCAGGAGGCTGACCACCTTGTCCAGGTCGCCAATGAACATGCGAAACTTGTCCACCTCATTGGGCTTACACGCCGACACCACCATGCTCTCCACCTGAGGACAAGGACAGAGACGCAGAGCTGGAGATGACTGAATTCAAGTGGAAACAGTTATTAGCTAATCCATTTCCAGAATGTTAAAGTTTGATTTACTGCACAAATTGTAAAATTATGAGTCAATACATAATCAACAGCGTCCAAATAGAACAGTCTTTTCTGGAGCTATTTAGCATTTATCAATAGTAAAATCCATTTACTACTGTACTGAATGCGAGTATAAACTGTTACCAAGTCAAAATGAGCAGGAAATCATTTCATCTTATATAAGGTTGTTGTAGTCCTCTGACAGCTTATTTAATATAGTTGGATTTTCAGCACAGGCTTTGGAACAAGATTGTTGGACAAACTGAACAGCCACAAAAATACACAAAAGTAAGCAACAGTCAGTAAGAGGGTGGTTTCATTTCCTCTTTCACTGGAACTGGTTTTTGAATGAATGAATGAAGAGATGGTGTCTCCCCACCTCCTCGCCCAGCTGTGAGTTGGCTCTGATGTCCTCCTGCAGCCCCCTCTGAGCTTCTCTCAGCACTGCCAGCTTCTTGCGGAGGCTCTCCATCAGCTGTTTCTGCTCAACAGCGGGAGAATTGGTCTAACATCGCAATATGAAAATAATAGGCAGCACAAGTCTGTCGTGTTAACTTTGACTGGAAGTTACTAAAAACACAGCAAACATAAAATACAGATTCCCCAACACTAGCAGCGACGGAACAGCTGTTACCTTGTAAGTCAGTTCGTCATCCTCGTCCCTCTCTCTATTATCAGTGAAGTCCTTCATCCGCGACAGAAGCTGCGCCTTGGCTGCCGATGTGCTGTAATAGGATGAACAGCTGGAGCTCGCACCTGACCTCCTGAGGGAGGCAGAGAGAGGAGAGCTGTTTTCATTTGCACAGAGATACAACAGAGGCAGAGCGACACAACAGACATGCTGCCATAAAATCCAGCAGTTTATCAGTGCACCTTGCTTATATCTATTTACCTTTAACTGCCCGCACCCTGCAGGATACAGCAGTTGTGTTGTTAAAAAGACCAGCCGGACATGGGATTGGTTTAATGTGAGTGCAGATAACTCCTAATTCTAAACGTCTATCTATAATTAGGTATTAATGTTTAATTGTCTCTATACATAAACAGTCCAATCATTGTTGATTTGTGGTTCTTTCTTCTTATATTTTTTTACTGTGTGTATGTAAATGACGCTCTACAACAAAATAAAGTTGTGCCTTTTTACACAGGGATCAAGGTACAATCAGAACATCAGGGGATCATAAGATTTAGATTTAATGATGAAAACGTTTGTTTAGTCTGACACTATTAACTGTTACTGAAACTGAAATGCATCTGCTGCCACTGTTTACAGTTCCACTTGCAAGTCATAATTCTTCCAACGATACTTCAACTGCTGTTGTCTCCCACAATTTAACTGTTGACTTAACTCCTTTGTGTCATTTTTGATTTATTCATTTATAACACTACAAACTTTCTCACTAAAAGGGTTTCATGTTCATATGTTTTATGTTCAGTTTCAAAAAAGATAAGGTAATCTAAATTACCTTTCCTACACATTGTCCTCTGATTGTCTAACCTTTCTTGCCTATGTGACAACATTTATCTATCTGGCACCTGTGCTAGAAAAAGTTAACTCTTTATCAACTTAACATAGGAAAAAGAAGGCTGGCTGCAGTAAGGAGTTCTGGAAAGGCTGTGGGAAAGGGGGAATGAGCTTAGTGACAAAAACAGTCTTGTACAAATCAAATGGCTTGTGTAACTGATGCACATCACACATACATACAGAGCCACATTTCACCACTGAGATTTAAACACTGTAACTGCCTCCTTGCCTCTTTTCTTATTACCTATCTAAGCTGTCAGTGTTGTGCTCCATGCTGTGATAGGCTCCTCTCCAGCTTTCCATGCCCAGCTCTCCCTCGCTGCTCTGGGGGAAGAGCTCCTCCAGGCTCAGGCGCTCTCTACTGCTCTCCCTGGCCTCCAGCTCCTCCTCCAGAGAGCTGCTTTCTGCCCTCGTCCTGCCCAGTGGTGAGCCCTCAGAATGTGGTAAGCTGTCGATATCCGTCTCCAGGACCGTAACTGGCAGCGCAAAGCACGGGAGCTCGCTGGTGATCGGTTCGTCCTCTGCTGGAAGCTCTTCCTCCTGGAAATCATCTATGTCCGTTTCAATGGGGACGTCGAGGTCAGCCTCCAGGCTCTGCGCAGGACTCGGACTGAGGGTAGTTTCAGATTCTGTTCCGAGTTCATGACTCTTGTGCTGCTCGACGCTCTGGAAGCCTCTGTTCATGCAGAGCTGTTGCTGCTGCTGTTCACAGTCTACAGGAAAGTAGGATTCAACGCCTCCATTTTCTACAGCAGGAAGATGTGCTGTGTCACTATGAGTCCTGGAAGATGGTGGTCTCTCCTTCTCAGTTCCGGGTCTCATGCTGTGCTGCTGCTTGTGTTGTCTTACTGACATTCTGTCCTGTTCAGGGCCGCGGCTGACACGTATCTCAGGAAAACTGCTGACACACAAAATAACAAAATAACTTTGTTGAAAGAGAATTTGATTTTATATTTTGATATTCAATTAATTAAGTCACTGTTCTGGTAAAAAAAAACTGGCTTGTCAAATGTCAAATGTGCATATTTGCTTACTTTCTTATTCCTTACAACAGTAAACTGATTTTGACCACTTGATTGTTAAAAAAAACTATTTACACAGGTCACCCTGGGCTCACTATAGATGTGATGTGCACTTTTTTATTTTATGGGTCAAACAATTATTTGACTAATCCAATTCAGTTAATCCAGAAAATAACTTAACTCTTTCCTGCCTATCTCACCTGCTCACACTGGTCTCTGGTGGTGGTGGTGGAGGTAGAGGCTGAGTTGACAAAACTTCCACCCTCTCCTGTTGCCCTCTATACGTGCTCCTCATGTTCCCTTCCTTTTCTCTCTTGGGCGGGTCCACAGGTCTGAAGGTTCTCCTGGAGAACATCGGGCTGGGTGGAGTAACAGTAAAGGGCTGTTCCTGAAACTGGGCCTGAGACTGATTGGGTGGAAAGTGGGAAAACGGCTGGTGCTCCTGCAGCTGTGGTTGATTCTGAGGGGATGAGGTGTGGGCAAATGTGCGTTCCTGGGTTTGAGATTGGTTGCATCTACAACGAGGGCAACCCTCTGACACTTCCTGCCTCTCTGGAGGAAGACTATAAGACCTCTGCCTGGATATTTCAAGTGATGGGATGTATGAGGAGTGAGTCGAATAGTGCCCCTCCGGGGTTTCAAAAGATGGAGGGCTGGAGTGCAAAGCAGCAGAGGAAGAAGAGGTGGAGAAGAGGGTGTGGTGAGATGCACGCCTGCGGTGGAACTGCTCCAACTTTGGGGGCGGTGGTCTCGGAGGAGGTGGCGTCTTCTTCCTATTTTCCTTGGCAGCATTTGCTGCGTCTCCTCCTCTGACGCCACCTGCTCCTTCCTCCACCTCGCACAGTGTCTGGCTGGATGCCACAGAAACTGATGGCAACCAGCGGTGGCTGCTGTCGAAGTGGAGGTCGTTTTCAGACATGGCTCTTAAAAGACGAGCCGAAGGAGGAGCGAAGGTGTATCCATTACGGTCACTGCTGCTGTCATCAAATTGTCTGAGGCCCCATCGACCCTGGTGGGGGTAGTGTTGGTACTGACTGATGCTCTCTGGTGGTCTGGGCTCCCACCTCCAGCTTGGGTAGTCCCTGTGATGTAGAGAAAGAGGAACAACAGAAAACAAATGGCCAGATTTTAAGCCTGGATGATTGATCTGCACACTTAGGGCTCCTTACAGTCAAGTCACAGCCAAGTGTGACCGAGTGCATTGAGCAAGACACTGAACCCCCAGTTGCTCCTGGTGATAATACCGGTGTGTGAATGGCCAAATAGTGTGAAAGCACTTGGAGTGCACTGTAAAGCACAGAAAAGCACTATACAAGTATAAGACCATCTGACCATTTATGAATGTATGTGTCTGTGTTTGTACTCTGTTACTAAAGGAAGTGGCTCACCTCTCAGTCAGGCTGTACTTCCTGTTGACCTTGACTGTGTCCTGTTGCCGGGCGGGATGGGTCTGTGGAAGAGATTTAAATTTGATTAATAACCAAAGGAATGAAGGAGCAAAGTGTTGGATCGGCACACCTTCCTGCTGATAGGAAGTGGGTGTGGTACTCCACCCCGCCATGTACTTCTGTGGTGAGAAGACTGATGGGGTGGAGGCCTTTTCTGCTGAATTTGGAGCATTTTGACTTCAAAAACATCTTGGAAGAGTTCAGGCAAACTAACACTCAATCTTAATATCAAATGTTTTACCAACACATTCATATATTTGGCTGTCAACAGGGCATGTCTCGTGTGACAATGATTCTGCCATGTTTGCATTAGCACGGAGATGCCGTGCTTCAAACCAAGCTAAGGGAGAAAAAGGGAGCGCTTGGTTTTGTGCAGCCCTGGTAATTTCCCAACGTTTATGAAAACATAGCTAAGCTTGTCAAATAAGAGCCTACTGAGTGACAGACCACAAGCAAGACTGAAAATAGCAGCCAGTAACATTTCTGTACTTTTACGATCTGTTTCCTTCCTCTGTCCAAACACACACACACACACACACACACACACAGGAACATTCTGAATAAATTTCATTTAAAATGGAATCATGCATATGTGTCTGTGTTTACATGTACTCCTTGATGTGTATGCGTCCCCTTTGCATGACTGCATTTAAATAGGTGTCCCTCTGCATGGGGTCTTATCACACCCTAGTCCTTAATCCAGCACATCTGTAACTGTTAAACCAGCAGCTTTTCAGTTGAAAAGGAGAAACATGAAGAAGTCAGGGTTCAAGGTTCCCCCGAGGCCTGTGCACAGTGAAAACTACACAAGAACAACAAAACAGTGTCAAGTTGAGCCAAATATGTGCTGAACTGAAGATGCATTTAATCCAAAACAAATGTCAATTTGGTTTGCTCAGTGTTAAATGACAAGGTTACCAATAGGTTGACGTTTCATAGGTTCAGACAAAGGGCTTCACCCTCTGCCAAGTAACTTTAATCAGCCTGTGGTAAAGACGAAACCCAAAGCTACTATTATCGCTGACTCAAGTGTCCACCGATGTTTCCCCAATCTCCCTCAGTTCCATGAATTATTTCAATGATCTGCTGCACTTTTGATGAGAATTTCATACTTTGACCACATGCAGAATGCTAGATTCGACTTCAAACCAACCATTTAACCACAGAGCACTTTGAACGAGGGGCCACTTAGCTCTAACTTCCAAGTGTTGCTGCTTGACCCCTCTCTGGTGCTGGCTCAAAGGACCAAGACAGTTTTCAGTCTCCATTGGTCATTTCAGTTTGGTCCAAATTCCACGACTTGTTTTTAGCGAGCTGTAAAGTTTGAAAAGCATTATTTGGTTCCAGTGCTGCTGTTATTTAGCTTAGCATGCCTGCTGCTGGGCCAGCAGGATGCTAAAGATACTTGTTAACAGTTGCAATTAAAACCTCTAACATACTGTATGTTAGCCGGGGTGATGCCTTGAAATAATGCTGCTTGTATACAATAGTTCATTTATCTGTAGTGCTCTGGTTGCAGGCCAGCCAGCAGTTGTCAGTTCTCACAGTTTAAAGGTTTAAAAATGTAGGTCACTTAAGGACACACATACGCTTAAGAGTCTTTGAGTAATAAGGAGAGGCACATCTATAGCATGTTATGCCTCTTGTTTTGTATAAATCTAAAAGTCAACTTTATGATGCAGATCTCAGGACAACAGAGTCCTCCTAAAGAGTTAACCTGACTCCTTAATGAACCTTTTAAGTGTGTCTTTGTCAGTGATGAAAACAAACTGTGTGTCTAAGTGTGAGTTCACATACATTTTCATGAATCTGATTGTGTGATTGTTTTGCAGTGAGAGCAGCACTCTTACCTCTGTAGGTGTGTAGCTCCTCACTGTGTACCCTTGATGCAGAGGTTGCTGGATTTCCAGGGGCTGAGAGGCCGTGCTGACTGGATAAAAAGCTGATCTCAGGACTTGACTCTGGGTTTGGCTGTGAGAAAACACCTGAGGTTTGGGCTGGAAGTTGTCCTTATGTTGGAAGTCTTGATGCTTTTCTCTGATGCCAGAATTGGCATAAAACTCCTGATGTGAGACGAGCTGAGTATCTTCTTCCCTTTCTTTCTCTCTTTCTCTCTCAAGCCCTTCATCTCTTTCTTTGTTGAGCCGTTCCATCTCTCTGGCCTTCTCCATCACCTTTTCTCTCTCCAACTCAAGCTCCCTCTCTCTTTCTCTTTCCCACTGTTTCACCCTCTCCTCTTGTTCCCTCTCTTGCTGAATCTCCCTCAGCCTTGCCCTCTCCATTTCCAGCTCCCTCTCTTGTTTTTCCTTCTCCTGCTGCCTCTCTATTTCTCTCAACCTTTCTTCTCTTTCTTGTTCCCTTGCCCTCCCTTCCATCTCCCTCGCTTGTTCCCTCTCCTTCTCTTTCTGCTTCACCATGTTAGTATTCGCAGACTGCCTCCTGGTCTCCAGAGTGTTTGAAGGC